TGTACGTGTTTGGGTTTTTGGTTTTGTAGTTTCCAGGTTCTATTTTATAGTCTGTTGCATATGTACACAATGTACGTGTTTGGGTTTTTGGTTTTGTAGTTTTCAGGTTCTATTTTATAGTCTCTTGCATATGTACACAATGTACGTGTTTGGGTTTTTGGTTTTGTAGTTTTCAGGTTAGTCTGTTGCATATGTACACAATGTACGTGTTTGGGTTTTTGGTTTTGTAGTTTCAGGTTCTATCTTAGAGTCTGTTGCATATGTACACAATGAACGTGTTTGGGTTTTTGGTTTTGTAGTTTTCAGGTTCTATCTTATAGTCTGTTGCATATGTACACAATGTACGTGTTTGGGTTTTTGGTTTTGTAGTTTTCAGGTTCTATCTTAGAGTCTGTTGCATATGTACACAATGAACGTGTTTGGGTTTTTGGTTTTACAGTTTTCAGGTTCTATCTTATAGTCTGTTGCATATGTACACAATGTACGTGTTTGGGTTTTTGGTTTTACAGTTTTCAGGTTCTATCTTAGAGTCTGTTGCATATGTACACAATGTACGTGTTTGGGTTTTTGGTTTTGTAGTTTTCAGGTTCTATCTTATAGTCTGTTGCATATGTACACAATGTACGTGTTTGGGTTTTTGGTTTTGTAGTTTTCAGGTTCTATCTTATAGTCTGTTGCATATGTACACAATGTACGTGTTTGGGTTTTTGGTTTTGTAGTTTTCAGGTTCTATCTTAGAGTCTGTTGCATATGTACACAATGAACGTGTTTGGGTTTTTGGTTTTGTAGTTTTCAGGTTCTATCTTAGAGTCTGTTGCATATGTACACAATGTATGTGTTTGGGTTTTTGGTTTTGTAGTTTTCAGGTTCTATTTTATAGTCTGTTGCATATGTACACAATGAACGTGTTTGGGTTTTTGGTTTTGTAGTTTTCAGGTTCTATCTTAGAGTCTGTTGCATATGTACACAATGAACGTGTTTGGGTTTTTGGTTTTGTAGTTTTCAGGTTCTATTTTATAGTCTGTTGCATATGTACACAATGTACGTGTTTGGGTTTTTGGTTTTGTAGTTTCAGGTTCTATTTTATAGTCTGTCAATTAGTCTCACATGGTGAGACTCTGTCAATGGATGTTACATTTTGTTACCATAACTGCTGGATTTCAAAGTTTCTGCATACATTTATAAAGATAAGTAAATGTCACAAAATTAATTAACTATTTTGTTTCAGTATATCTCGCCTTAGGCTGCACAGGGCGACGTCCATTTGAATAGCAGAAAGTTATATATTTATTCCGTCTCTTAATAACTCTGTGAAGAAAAAAATGGTGATGGCATTTACCCATAGATGCTAGTATCTTCTTATAGCGACCCAACCAAGTAAATGTCTGCTCACAAGACATTGTATTAAAACTAGGATGTTTATTCTTCAACTGGACTGGATTGTATTCCTCATGGCACTCTTTTCTTTTGTGATTTTTAATGTGAAGAGAATCGATTATTTTACATACATCTAGCCAAATGTATTTTAAATCATCTGGTAATGGGAGAGGTTCTCTTGCAACCTTCAGGTTATCCAAGTTACACATATTGTCATAGGAAATAACAACTTCTCTCATTTGTTCTCTGGTGTGGTTTCTGAATGCTGTAACCATCCAAGATAAAACAATTAAAAAAACCTGTGCGGGACCTTCTGACCTAAATGTGCAGAATAATAACCAAGTACGTGGTTATAAGAAAAGCATTGGTGAATAATGTGACATACTGGTAAAGTGGCTGCCACATGTCAATATGACCACCTCCTCGCACTATAAACAGGTGCCCTCTAGTCCACTTTTGTAACTGTTTCTTAGCCCCAGTGTCTTTGTTGCACTTTGTTGCACTTATTTCTTCACCTGTATCAAGAGAGGAGGTCAACGTCGGATTTGACTTCACAAAACGTGATATCCCTAAATTTACATGCATGTCATATTGAGTAAGATAATCATATGGAGCATTAACCTTGTCCATCCAAGACAGTGGCAGTGCTATCATATGGAACCTCAACATCCTCTTCAGAGTCACTTTCAGTGAATGTAGGCTCTTGTATTGCCTCTGATGCATGTGTAATGAAAATTTCCTAATCTATGGTACTACATGCATGTATAACAACTCACCACTTGTAGAAGAGCAGTATGACAAATACTCCTTAATCCCTGTAGGAATACCTTTTAGTAAAGCTTCATCACTGTGTCCCTTACACAGTGCTTTCTTCGGGACTGGTTGATTAGGACAGCTTTCAACATAATTTAGTTTACCAGAAAATCCTGCTACTTCCATTGGATCTGTATGCATGCATATTGGGTACACCAACTTCCACAATCCATCAATTGACCATAATGTACCACAACCTACAAATTAATGTAACAATGAAAACACCAACTGATAACGGACACTAGTCACTATACTCGCATAAGCCACTCCAATAATTAGGAAGTGGGCAGGCTTGTATATTTTCTTTAAATTCATTTATTAAAGCATAAAACTGCAAATCTTATTGGAATAGCCTTTAGTGGGCCATTACAGGAATATACATGTACATGTACATTATGCGGAACATCACGAACTTAGTGCTTTGTTCAATAAATGTTTTTAACGACCTGGAGGCGTAGTCCCCAGGTTGTTTGTATATATACATACATGTATACATGTATGTCCACACTTACATTTCTTCTATACACATTGTATTGGAGAAATAACAGAATTAGCAACCACCCGCCTACGCCCTTCATGTAAAGTGAGTGTGGCCAAGGCAAACAAAATGGTGGTTTATACATTGACAAAGTTATGAGCTTTCTAACAGCAAGCAAACATAGAGATACTGTCTAATTAGAAGGTAGAGAGAACCTCCATAAATTTTAATAAAAACCCAGCTGTGAGGTGAAAAAAATTACAGTATAGGAATAATTTTAAACTTTTACGCTTGTTGGGGCAAGCCTGAGCGAGCCCCACTCAGGCGAGAAGTCTTCTGTATGTATGTATGTATGTATGTATGTATGTATGTACGTGCGTCTCCAGTCACGCCTATTCTGCTCACACCTATGTGTGTGTGCTACTATCTATTTAAATGTCAATGGTCTAATGCAGTAGCTTACTTTTCAATTTTTCATTGATTTGGGTGTGGTTGCAATGAAACAAAAATGGCGTTTGAGAAGGCTATGAAACGGGAGCAGGTCTTGAGCTTACTTGCAGCAAGAAAAGACTGATCTGTTGTCCATACACTTCTCCAGCAACAAGAAACTTAAGAAAGCAGAGATAAAATATTTCTCATGGTCCTTTGTCATTGCTCAATGACTATAAAAGTTGAATACAACTTGACTACATGCAGTGACCCACTGACTGCTAGCCTTGTGATAATAGTCTCTCTCTATTGTGATAATGCTCTACAGAATCATGCATGAGTCTTACTTGGTATAGCACCAACAAAAGCAACACTATTAACAATATTCTTCTCACATAATAGCGATCACTGATGATTTACTGTTCATTGTATCATAAATAATAAATGCTCTGAGATAAACAAATGCCTATTGGGTTTGCCCCAGTTAAATGTTCTACATTCGTCTAGTTATAATTGGGGCGAGCCTGAGCTCGCCCCACTCTAGCTGTACTCCTCTCCTCTGTCTGTCCTCGTACGTCTCCAGTCACACCTATTCTGGTCACACTCCATGTGTGCACTACTCTCTATTTAAAATCAATGATCTAATGCGGTAGCATTCTGATGAAATATTTTCATTGGTGTTGTGTGGGTGTGGTTGCAAGAAACAAATACAAAATGGCGACTATCAAGGTTACGTGAAACCGTAACTCGAGCAAATCTTACTGAAGCTTACGTGCAGCAAATAAGATTGATCTGTTGTCCAGGTACTTCTCCAGCAGAAAGAAGATATAGATCTAAATCTTAACGGTCTTTTAATTTATGGTGGAATGACAGAATAAAAGCTTCAATTAGATCTATTCTTGATTTCATTTATTACCTCATAACTAAATATTATTAATTTTTATTAATGGATGCTCAGGCTCGCCCTTTAATGTTCTACATTGCGTCTAGTTATTCTAATACATACATGTACATGTACAGTACTTGTGTTGTGTGTGAGCTGATTCTAATCATATTTGGATTTTAATGAATTTTAAATTTGCTCCAAAACCATGTACATGTACATGTATGTTGCTTGTCTGCTCATGAAGCTCATGCTGTTTGTCGGACATTATTAATTGGTTATTGCTTTTAATATAATTAAAATAAATAAAATTATTAATTTTTTAAAAATAATTTGTTTAGACATAGTTGTACAACAACACAGAATTTGGCTGAATAGCTGAGCAAAAATGGTCGAAAAATGTACAATTTTCAACTGTTATTTCAGGCTCTGCATTACTATGACACTTATGCAATGTATGTGTACATGTACATGTACTATACCTCGGCTTTTACAAGCTTTACTGCATTCCAGATGTTTATAGCACGATGATGATCTTTCTTCATCAAATTTCATCATTAATTCTTCTCTAGACAAAGATGAGTGAAATAAGTGATCAATTTGTTTTGTTTCCCGTAATTCCGCTTCTACTTCTGCAGTCCAAAATGCCTCAGCAATGATTTTACGAGATAACTCATAAGTCAGTATGGCAGTTTCATCTAATAGAAATACATGTAGGTGACTACTCATTACAACTAAAGTTGCCTTAACATAAATGTACCTTCTTTGTTGAAATCTGAAAAATCTTTCACAAATTTGGATGTATTCATTGCATTCTTCAATTTATCTGAAATTTCCCTCATCATCTCATTATAAACTTCTGAAAATCCTTCAAAGGAACACCAAGCATGGTGACTACAAAAGTATACAATTACATTGTACAAGTTTCGTCACATAAACATATTATTATTACAATTCTTCTCATTAAAAAATCTCGTAAGATAACACTTAACTGCCAATTTGTTTTACATGTACATGTAAGACATACCATAATTGTAGAAAATTTGCTATTTATCATGCAAATTTTGCTGAGCCATCCATTCACAAAATTAAGTGTGCCATAAATTTTTTACTAGCAATCACATCGCAAACATTAAAATGTCTAAATATAAAATTTATGTAAACCACATGAAAATCATAGTACATGTGCTGTTTATCATACAAGTACACATACACACACAGATGCATGTACATGTATATGGTAGTTGCAGCACTGGAATAACAGTCTATACCTTGATGAAGTAAATAGCTGATATACAGATCTGTGAATGAACTGAGACCTTGAACCTTTCACATATTCCCGTTGCGCATCATAATAGCGGAATCCATCATTCTCTGACCCATACATATCATACCTAGCACATCAAAACATTAAGGAATTACAAGTAATACATGTATATGCACATACATGTAGGCACAAAACGAGTCAGAACAAAGTACATGTAGTTCTACAATTTACCTGTAATTTAAACAGCATGAAGTACACCTAAGAGTAATTTTAAGAGCTGGAAGGGGGCCATTTAAGCCAAAACAAATGACTTGAGATGGCAAATTATGAGACTTGAGTGGTTTGGTGCACTTTAGACAAGTATTCACTGGGGGGCCAAGAAAAAGCGTGTGTGGAATCTTAGTATTGAACGTAACATTCCAAAGAAGGTCCATATTTGGATAGCCAAACAGACTAATCGAATCACCAAGTAACTGCTCCATCTGATGCACTTTAACTTCTAACTCCTGGACCGGACATGGTAGAGTATTGATTGTAGAACAACCAGCTGAAACAATGTTTGCCAAGTATTGAATTCGTTTATCTTTAAAGCAAGGGGGAACTAAATTTAAAGCTTGTCCTAACAACACATCTGTAATCAGGGATACGTCGACTTGACCCTTTCTTGTTGGAAATTCGACATTGGCTTCAAGTGCTTGACTATTGCTTATTAATATGTCAGTATTTGTAGCAGTATTGTGTTTATTAGGTATTTCCAGAGGCATTGAAGGCTTTTCCTGCAGTTCATCGAGCAACTTTTCATACTTCCTTTTCCTGCCAATCCTTTTCTTAGACGCCATTTTATTTTGTGGGTGTGTCACACGAGACATGATGATACCATAGATAATAGAGCAATATTGTACATTTACTCTATTACGAACAATTTCAACTAGCACACGTACTTACGCATACGCATAGACAGAAAGGATACACGTGCAGACGTAGTGCTTCTCCTTCTCTGCTGCGGATTGGCAGTTATGGCTGAGCTGAAAATAGAATCTGGAGAAATCATAGTGACCAAAACCAAAGCAACTCTTACAAATTTTACATTCAGCATTAAGTGTAGTATTATTGGGCCGAAGTATTCTGGAATCGGCGGTGGCCATGTATTTCTTATTGAAAATAAGTATGGAGATAAGGGGTAAGTATTAAATATAGTCATATTTAGTTTATTTATACTGAAATTAATTTAACTTTAGGGAGTGCTTTATTTCTAATTCAGATGCAACCTGCCTTAATAGTTTTGTGAAAAAAGCTTCTCGTGTTGTGCCTAATATTTTAACAGTGAAGTTACGTAATGATGAGAAATGGGGAAGGTACATCTTTGATAAATGTGACCATTACAGGAGTAGTGATCAGTACCAGCAGAAGACTCTCGTTACTGCTCTTGGAAAACAGCCATATGGAAGTGTGTGGATTTTATCAAAGGAAATACACATCAATGCATCTGGTCTTATCATACCTGAGGAGGAGCAGTCATACTACTGGGATGATGAGTATTGCAGGGAGCATGGCATAAGGCCATTGAATATAACTTTGCCTCTAGATTCAATGGTGAGTAATTGTAGTAATCTATACATGTAGTTCATAAAAAAACTTGTATATCAGAAAGCCACAATCCAATCTATTAGCATTTTTATGATGAACTGCCATGTCTACATGTGTATTTTCATTTGCATTTTAAAATGTTATAGGGATTTTCAAATTTACTGCAGTCATTTAAAAGAGCTTTGAGTGACAATTTTTTAAGCAGTGTGATAGCTATATGCTCCACTGCTCTTCTGGGCCACTATGAGATGGTAATGGAAAGATTTCACGAATGCCCAATACCATTGCTATATAGCAAAGAGACAGGAACAGGTAAGTGTGACATTGTTATACTTAAATTATTTACGAAACAAGTGAAGCTATTATAATGTGAAATGACTATGTTGAACAAAAGGCATTAATTTGATAATGAATGTACTATATCCAATAACCATAAGTGTTACTTTTATCACTTAATAATTATAGTCCATTGTTACACTTTGCATCTACATGTATTTTTACAGGTAAAAGCTCTTCAGCAAAAGCTGCCTTGTGTTGTTGGGGAGCTCAAAATGTCAACTTCAGAGGATGCAAATCATCAGTGTCATCAATAGTAAATTACACTTCAAAATCTACAATTCCAGTAGTAGTCGATGATGTGTGTAGTCAGCATTCAATGGAGGAGTTGGCAGTCCAATTTTCTGGTGGTGCATCTCATTCTACCATATCATCAGGAAATACTGCACCAAGGGCTGGCATTATAGTCACTAGCAACATGAGTTTTATTGAAAGTGACAGGTATGTAAAATGCATGCATGTAGCAAGATATAGTACAAAGTTTCAGGGGGCTGTAAATTTAATGAATTTGTCCAAAAAATGATTTTGCAAATTTTGTATGACAATGTTGCACTATCTGTCATATTGTGCTATTTATAATGTGCCATTCCGTATTTTTATTTTCAATGTAATTTCACATCTATGAATTGATTAATAATAATAATATTATTATGAGTATCACACAACCCTTTTATTATTTAAGATGCTTATACTTACACATGTACATGTACAATGCATATATGTAGTTTTTAAGTGCATGTACATTATGCATACACATGCCCTTAACTGTTACATTCATTATAGGAATGTCGTGAGGCTGGTCCATATTCCCTTCTCAAAGATATATATTGATAGAGAAGAACACCGTTCCCATTTAGAAGACGACCATAAGATTGCATGTGATCGTGCATCTAGTAGTATTGGGCTTTTTATTGCTATTGGTTCAGTTTTGGAGTCTCAGGAATTTAACGATGATTTTCATTCCCGCTTCCTTCCCATGGTTAGGGAGATCATGACTGATTTGCCAAACAGAGCCCATCGCAGTTATGCTTTAGTGCTAGCTGTTACAAATGAGGTTAGTATAATACAAAGTATTTCAAAGTACATGTACATGCATGTATGGGAAAGCGATGATTACTTTACATGTACAATTAATACATATATGTGTAGGCAGGTCTTGCATGTAGTGTATTTTGAGAGCCTTAATCTACCTGTATTATTATCTACTGCATCTTTGTGCAACATTTAATTTCATAATTTCATAAGCAGCAAAAAGGCTGTTACCATTGTCGTCATGAAATTTGTGATATACATGTGCATGTATTTGTAATTATTATAGGCACATACAGAATGATTTTATGATCATATGTCATTATAATTTTACCTTGTATAAAATTATCATGTACTTGTATAGCTTTGCAAGAATGTGAGTTCTTCAGTAGTTTCATTTCAAGATGTAGAAGAATTCTTCAAAAGAAATTTGGCGCCTCGTATTAATAGTATTTTAAAGCCAAGTAGTAAGAAATTAGATGATTTTTGTGAGGAGCTTTTAAAGCAAATAGCCGATCTTGAGGTTTATGAGGTACAAGCAACAATAACCATGTTATCACAGTGACTTTCACTTTTGTAGATTTTACGTTTCTTACGGCCCGATGTTATTAATAAATCAACAAAAGAGATGTTTGTAAATATAGCATTTTCCTATATGCGGAAACATGTTGAATTTGATGAAAAAGAATTAAGAAGGATGGTTGTCAGTGCAAATGGAAAAACTGGGGCATCACTTCCATTTTTGAAAGATGACTCTACTGATATGATCGTCAAGCCCTCTGCCAATGGTAAACAAAGAAAATGTTTCCAAATCCCACATTCAGCATTGCACACAACTATTATCAGGAAACTAACTGAAAGAGGTATAATTGCTATTATTATCATTGGACTAGCAGGGTAGGTGCAATGGTGCATTACAGGGGCAGATATAGGATTGAATTTTTGGGGGCCTAATGATATGGGTGGGGTAATTAGTGGGTGTGGTCTAATAGGCGTGCAGGATTTTATTTGGGAAGTCAAAGTTTTGAAGATTAGGCCTCTTAAATGAGCCTCTCTGTGGTTTAGAGATTGTTTACACAGTCAAGTACTGCAGCTCCACCAGGTCCCCCCTAGATCATGGTGCATTAGTTTAATTGATTGTCTGTCTGTCATTTACATTGCATGTGTATTAATATTATTACCATACAGCAGAAAATTTTTGTGGCCAAAACATTTTGCGGATCTGTCCAAATATCAATTTTGTGGTTTTCTACTTTTTGGCCATCTTGAACTGTATAAAATTGATTTTCATGGATTTTATTTTAAAAAAGAAGGGAAATCCATGTGAATTTTGGAGCCACGAAAATTTTCCGCTTTATGGTAATTTCAATGTTTATAATTCATTTAATTATAGTCGGATCCAAGGTCATGTTACATAAGGATGTAGAAAGTATGTCATTGTTGTGATTGTTTGCATTGGAATGATTTTTGTCATACACTTGTATAGTCAGTGAAGAAGATGAGGTAGCTTTAGAAAGTGTCACTTTTCGGGAGACTGGTAGTAGTATGGTCTCAGAGAGTAAGTAATACCGATTACTATTACATTAATGTATACTGTATATAGATGATGAAAGGGAAGAGCCTTTGTCTGAGGAGTTTGTTAATCCAGAAGGAAGCAGTGGCTCAAAAGGTAAATAAAATGCTACCTATTAATTTCCATTACTATTACTCATATACATAGATGATGAAAGGGAAGAGCCTTTGTCTGAGGAGTTTGTTAATCCAGAAGGAAGCAGTGGCTCAAAGGGTAAATAAAATGCTACCTATTAATTTCCATTACTATTACTTATACATAGATGATGAAAGGGAAGAGCCTTTGTCTGAGGAGTTTGTTAATCCAGAAGGAAGCAGTGGCTCAAAGGGTAAGTAAAATGCTACCTATTAATTTCGCATTACTATTACTTATACATAGATGATGAAAGGGAAGAGCCTTTGTCTGAGGAGTTTGTTAATCCAGAAGGAAGCAGTGGCTCAAAGAGTAAGTAAAATGCTACCTATTAATTTCGCATTACTATTACTTATACATAGATGATGAAAGGGAAGAGCCTTTGTCTGAGGAGTTTGTTAATCAAGAAGGAAGCAGTGGCTCAAAGGGTAAATAAAATGCTACCTATTAATTTCCATTACTATTACCAAGAGTGGATAATTATTTAGGGAGAGTGTCTAACCTCCCTATATTCTGTGATACCACAGCGCGTATGTTTACATCCGTTTTTTGCAAGTATACAGAGTTAATCTCAGTAATCTTCAAATTTATGGGCGTGGCTGATAAAATGGCGCTTGAAGCATGCAGGCAACTTTAAGACTTATATCTCCACTCTGAGGATCATGTAGTGCGAGAAACAAGCAGGATCAGACGGGAATATGTTCTTCTAATGGTTGGCTCTTATTTGCAGCCTTCTGACTTGGAATCAGTATAAGGACGCAAGAATGGCTACTTGGTGCTAATAACCATGCTATGTAAACTTACGCACTGTGGTATCACAGACATAGGCGGTTGCAGGCCTGGGCATTAGGGGGCAATGCCCAGGTTGACTTTTTGACCAATAATTATATTCATGATTCTGGTATGGGCATCCAGTATAAACTGTGGTAGTTCAACAGGCTTCTTTGTTGTTTTATGCTAAGAAACCATCTCAATGAAGTTATAGATCAGTATTCTCCATTTTCCTTGCAAAATTGTATGGAACCACACCCACTAATTATTGATGCCCAGTTCACACCAAATTTCTGCCACTGCCCATGATCACAGATTATAGGCGGGTTAGACACTCTCCCTAAATAATTATCCACTCTTGCTATTACTTATACATAGATGATGAAAGGGAAGAAAGGGAGTTATATGTTCAAGA